GCTTCCTGAGCATGTGAAACAGAGGCTCAGCTGTCAGGGCTGTTTGACTTCCAGCCAAGGACTTTGCAAAGCAAATATGAATGATCTGTTATGGGTGTTCCACAGTACTGCCCATATTCACTACTAAAACAGCAAATAAAACACTAGCTATAGAAACTACTACCTCTGAAGTCACACATCTTCTTACCAAATATTAAATAAATTCAGTCTCTCCTACCTATGTATCACTCAGGTAAAAGCAATGGAAAATAAAGCCAGGGTCAGAGATTAAAACCTGAATCTCAAAATTCAGATTTTGAGCATGATTTTTTAAGTCCAGTCCAAGCACAAGCTGAATTGCACAGCAGCCAGAGCTGCTGATATATCTAGAACTGTACCTTGCTGAAAGCACAGTTCTATGATATTCTCTCCAACAACACAATGCTTTCTCTGTCTACTAAGATGAACACCAAGGATGGTCAGGGGCTGGAGCATGCAATGTGGGAAGAGATGTTGCAATAGGATTTATTCAGTCTTGAGTAAGTGAAGGGAAGCTCTTGGTGTTCTCTACAACTGGGGAGAGGGTTTAGAGAAAACAGGGCCAGACTCCCTCTTGGAGGTGCAAAAGGACAGAACAGGAGGCAAAAGACACAAATTGCAACAGGAAAGCCAAATTATACATTAAAGAGCACATTTTTCCACCACAAGCATAGCCAGCCACTGTAACTGGGCCTAGAATTTTAGAAAGTCCACCCAGAGATAGAAAGAAACCATGAAACACAGCCCGGAGTAACCTGATTTGAATGGACCTGCTTTGAGCAGGGATAACAAGATAACCTCCAGCTATATCTTCCAATCAGAACTATTCTGTCATTTTACAAACCTTAGCTTTCATGAAGCATGAAAAATACTGCCTTAGATACTTTAGTATAAGGCTTTAAACATTTGTTTGTTTGACAAATACAAAGCCAGCAAGAGATACAACCAGATTCTGCTGTAAATTAAAGAGGAATTTTGTTTCCATGAACATCTGGAATGTGTATGTGCAATTGCCATACTGCTAAACAAAGAGCTGGCATGAAGAAAAAGAGAAGGATCTGTTTTCATTTAGGATATTGTCCCTTGGAGCTAACATAATGTATAATGTGTTTGGGGTTTAAGTGTAGTGATTTGTTTGGAATTAAATATAAACATAATTTCCAAAATTCAAGAATGGTGCTTTATGGCAAAACCAGAGATAAATTTTAGTCAGAACACATCTATGACAGCTGTCTCCTGAAAGTATTGAAAAAGTCATATTTGCTTCACAGGTACCATTTCAGAAGTTACTTATGTCTGTACGTATCTGGATTACAGTGGTAGTCACTGTAGCTTAAGCTCAAAAGCACTTCAGTAGTTTTTGAAAATGGTACTGAATTATTTGAAAATGGGTTCTGAATTATTCCCATCTCACTACTCTTGGAAACCTGACCTCTTCAGCAATCTTGAATTCTTTCATTCAAGAATATTTTGTTTTGTATACATAAGGTATTTTCATACTTGTGCAAGCTAAACCTGAAACATTCAGTCTGTACGCATTCTTCATATCCAGGTGTAAACTTCAGCCTAGGTCCATGCCATCCTTATGCATGGCAACTTCTTAGCAACTCTACTTATGGGAGAGTTAAAACCTCAATTAGGTACCTAATTTCTATACACAGAGTATAGGAAGATTAAGGCACTTGGCTTAATCCCATCCTACCTTCCTGTGCTGAAAACATATAAACTGGCCCACAGGGAGCACTGAAGACAGACATTTCTGAAACCATTTCTTTTTCCTAGACCACAGTCCCTTTTGTAGCTCAAAACTAGGCACCTGTGTGGAAAAGGGAGTCACAGCTGCAAATTTCCGTCTGGGTGTAGGCACAAAGTCACCAGTAAGAGCTGGCACCTCTCTTTTCTTTAAGATGTGGCTACTGGAAGAAGAGAATTGAAGCCATAGCCCCTGCTGGACCTACAGGACCTGCTCTCCACATCTAAGGAAGGACTAGTTCCCTCTCACTCACTGCCAGTGGCCCTGTAGATCCTGCACTCCTCCCTCCACAGTGAAGCATTCTCATCTGACATTTTGTTAATACATGAGAAAGCACCTATTCCATCCCTGCATATTATATATATATATATATATATTGAGTCCATCATCAGCCATAAGAGAAGCAAAATTTTTACATGTTCTCTCTATTTTTTTATTCTAACTACTCATTAAGTGAAAACAATTTGTTGAGCACAATACAAACAAAAAAACTCAGTGCTCTGTCTGTGCCCATGTTCAAGACATACTGAAGATTTTGCTTCCTGTGACAATAGATGTCAACAATGTGTAACAAACTCTTATTTAATTATTTTAATTATTTAATTTATTTTAATAGCTTATACTTACAATTTCACATAACATAATGGTGCAATTTCTGCTTAGACACAGGTCCTGTTTTTAGAAAGAAGGCATCTTTAGAAGGACAAATATGATGAGCCAGAAATAAACAAATTCTGATTTCCTTTCTCACTGATACTAAATTCAGTAAGATTATTCATAAAAGGCCCTTTGTATTTCCTGCTCATATTTGTGGACAATTAGTTTACTGATTCCCTTGTTTGAATCCTCTGTGAAGGACACAGCCTCTGTGAAAACTCTCCAGCCTTTATTACCTTAGGTATACCTAGCTTACCTTCTCTGACTGATTAATCTTATTGATTCAGGTGTTGCCAGCTTATCAGTTCATTCTTCACAGGTGAACAAAGAAAATTTTATGCAAGGGCTGCTCCTATGTCTCATGTTAATCAAAATTTACTGATTCAGGTTTTGCCTCCTCCCCAACATCTTTCCAGCTTGCAGACAATTACATTACTTTACATACTGCACACTTGTCTGCAGCATTCTTCTGTGTTGTAGGGCTTCTCTGCAGCATACAGCATGTTGGTGCCTGTAGAGTCTCTGAATTCCCAAAGATGGGAACCAGATGCTACCATAACTATGCATACAAAAAATACTATCTTCCTATAAAAAAGCCCTTGAAGGACTTTATTCAGATTTTATGAGCCATCAAGTGGAACAGCTGGGATTTTTATTTTTTTTGGTAGGGTTTTTTGTTTGAATATTTTTTTTCAATTCAGCAATTTTCAGCATAGACATTTGCCCCAAAGCATTTGACTTCAGATACACTATGTTTTTATTTCCACTTTTGCTGCTAAATTCTACTCTTCATTTATATGTCAAAAATATTAGGATGCTCCTTTCCCACTCTCATGATTTTTACGCACATACTTGTGTCAGCAGTGAAACAACCATCACCTTTTTTGACTGACATACTCAATCCAAGAGGCAAAGGAAGAAGCAAAGCCTTTATAACTTTAGGAAGGCTTTTTCTTTTTTTTTCTTCCTAATGATTTATACACTGAGGTACTTTCTGTAACTGACAAGAAAGAGATAGAATTTCAAAGGAACAGGAAAACAATGCACCACTGCAGCAGATGTGTGCCCAGAGAAGCTACGAAAAAACAAAGATTTCCACATCTTGTTGCATAAAAGGGAAAAAATGAAAATCACAGGTAATGGCAGTTTAACAGAAACAAGCAAGCAAAACCCTCTAAAAATAATCTACCAAAAAAAAAAATCTTATAAGGAAAATGTTTTCTTTTAAATCATTCCTATAGAAATTAAGTAAAATAATAGTTTAGTCCTTTCTTCATGGCAATTTTTTCTCATGCTTTGTTACAGTGTTGTTGTCTGAAAAAGCAGAAGAAATACTCTTGCTTGTTGCTGCAACTTCACACAAAGTGCGTATGTCTTCCCAGATTGTTAAGTGTGACTATTATGACTCTCTAATGTAGCTTCCCACACAACAAAAGCAATGGCTCTTACCTACATTAAACCGCTTAGAGCCTACACAAAGTGTAGTTACCTTTAGCTTCCCCCCCACACACACCAATATCAATTCTAATTTAAAAAACAGGCTCTAAAAGGCAACTATATGTTGTTTGTTACCCTTGTTCACTTCAGCAGGTCATTACCCTTTTCTAAATGTACTTCCTAAACATGCACATTTCATTATCATTCAGAATTTGTCTAGATCCAGCTTCCTGCCATTACATTCTGACATGCTTTTGTCTGCTAGACTGAAGTCCTCCAGTATCACGTTTCTGTTCCCTGCAGGGGTTCCCTGCACATTGTCAACACATCTCTCTATAAATCTGTTTGATAAACTAAAGTCAAGCTGTTCGAAGGCATGGTTTCTAAACTGTTAATCATCTGAGGGTGAATACTCAACAGAGTATTCTCTACTTTTTCAACATCTTTCTTGACTGTGGACAGCAGAATTAAACAGAGTATTCTATCCATGGCCATATCTACTTCTAATGAAGAGCTAATTCTTCACAGCCTCCCTTCATAGGTTCTTCTTACAGACATTCAAGATTTGCATTAGGGCTCCCGGCCACAGTGTCCCACTGTGAGCTCATATGCAACTAAAATCATGTCACAGATCTTTTCCAATAGCCACTTCCCAGTCCACTGGTCCCTTTCCTGTAAGCATGGTCTACATTCTTTACTGTTGGTTTTATGACATTACATCTAACCTATGGCTGACACAGATCACTGTTACCAACCATCTTCCCAACACCATTTGAAAGGTTTAACAATGTTTTTCCATTTAGTGCTCTATGGAATTCTGTATCTCTACCAAATCTCAACAGGAGCAGAGTCATTTAACATAATACAGGATTTCATCTAATTTCATCTATTTAATGCATTCCAAGTTTGTTTCATATTGCTGTAATGTATTAATCAAGAATTCACAGGGTGTTTAACCAAACAGCTCAGTGAGATATATATAGATGATAGTGTATCAGTTGTACTTTATTAACTGAACATGCAATCACCTTAGGAGTAACATTTCAATCCAGTATTACCAACACATGTTTTCCATGATCCTAAAGTAATTTGCAATTTATTTTTTTTTCCTTGTTGTATCCCATCATAGGAATTTTCCTCTTTGCCCTGCATCAATGTCAAGTGCAGTATGTTTTATGGGGACCTGGACATTTCTACTGAACCCTTGAATAGGTAATAATAAAGGTAGTATTCCTTAAATGGTGGCATATTACCTCCTTGGTGTCCCCAGAATTTCATGATTTAGTGAAATATTTCTGTTTCATCTCCAGAGTTTAGTTTCTCTTTCTTCCCCATGCATTCCTTGATGGAAAAGATACATGCATTCTTATTGCTATCAGCCCCCAACATTATTTCATGACTTCTGTAATATAAAATGTTTCTCTTTAACTTGTGGAATCATAGGAATACTTTTTTCAGCTTTCATTATGGAAGTCCACTTCTGATCTTCATGCATACAGAGAGAAATTGGGAAAAAAAGAACCCTACACAATCTAAATATGTGAAATCTAAAGACGCATAACTCAGAGTTGTTTTTTTTCCTGTGGGTTTTTTGGGGTTTTTTTGGTTTGGTTTGGTTTTTGGTTTGTTTGTTTGATTGTTTTCTCCTGATGGTTTGCATCTCACTCATGACAGGCGATAGTGCAGGCTGACATGCTAGCTTTGGAGCACAAATCCCATTGAGAGAACCAAAATAAATCAGAATAAGCAAGTTTCAAACAGAAAGCCTAAGGCTAATTAGGTGATCTGAACTAGAGACCATGATGCCATTGGGAATCTCTGAACTGTGCTATCTTGCAGTTTTTAGAAACAAGTAGTTGGAAGTAACTTAAATGTCTCTCACCTTGCACAACAAATCAGTTATTTCCAAAATATAACATAGCTCATTAAAGTAGTTATGTCTTAATACAAGGTTGATGCTGCTGTAGGAAAGGACATACAAAGAGGTATTCAGACGAGAAACAACTATAATTTCTGCTAATGTTGTATTTTCTGTCTTTGCCTAAATTTCCAGTTTTCACTTAACTCAGCATTCTTTCTTAGATTCAAAGAGATTCTTGCTGTAATCCTCAAAACAGAGCAACTATCTTGGTTCCTTTCTCTCATGACTGTTGGGATGATAAAATCAAAGATCACATCAATAATTAGCAGCAGTAGTTCTTTAGCCTGGTTATTAAAAAAAAATCTACCAATATACAACCTACATGCATCTCTGACTATACTCTAACAGGAGATTTGAATCCATTGCTTAATTTTGACCAGAAGAACAGAGATATTAAAGAAATTTAATCTCTATTGATTTCCTGAAAATAGACAGCTGAAGAGGCAGACCCTGTCAACACTTTAAATGAAGATATCATTGAAAATTCTTTATTAAACAACAGAAAATACACTTGAAGGAAAAGCATCCAGAATTCCCCAATCATACAAAAATCCCTAAAGTTACATTCCAACCTCATAAAATCTCAAGAAATGCGTTACAGGGAAAATTGTGGCTGTTAGTTGCAATGTTCCTGTAATTACTTATGAATGTGTATGAATTCATTTCCTGTTTTATTCTTTAACAGGTCGGTCTCCTGAAAGTCAACCAGTATTGTCAAATCAAGTTGTGTGGCAGAAAACTCTGGAGTCACTGTCCTGCATGCAATGCATTCATATATTCCTGAACTTAAGTAATGCAGAAAAGACCAAGAATCTGACCGAAATATGCCACTGGACAGCAGTTGTGAGACAGGCATCATGTTCAATTTAGAGCTGAAAAAAGAGGTGAGATTCTAAATCTCTATTTGCTATGAGCCACCTAGTCATGTGTAAAAGTGGTCTTATATTTTATAAGCACGTTACAGGGATAAATATATACAAGCCCAACTGACAGTTGTCTGTCTAATGTTAGATTATGTGGCAATAAATAAATACTTCAACATTTCAGCACATTTTCTTGTTGGGTTTCTATTCTATGAGCAAGGAAAACTAAAATGCCCTGTATTCCTTGGTAATAGTAAGGAAAAGCCAGTCATTCAGCAGTTGAGCAGATTGCTTTCAAGGTTAAGAAAACACTGACTGAGCACCTGATGGAGAATCCTACAGACAAGGAAAAGCACAGGTGAATTTCAAGGCTGCTGGGGCAGCGCTCTAACAGTACTTGTAACAGGAAAGCAGTAAGCAGAATAAAAGCTTGCCACTGAACTTCCACATGTTTAGGAAAAAGTCTCGTTACTATGGATTTATGTTCTCTTTGAGCAAAGGTTATTTTGATGTTTTTAAAAACAGAGAGAAAAAACAACTGGTGGTGCATATAATTTTCTGCTATAGACAGTGCAACTACATCAATTCATCTTTCTCTCCCCACAAATCAAGATAGAGACACTGTAAATCAGAACTCTCATGTCAGGGTTTAAGGGAAGCAAGAAATATGCAAAACAGTAAATCAACACAAGGTTTTCTTTACTATAGCTGGCAGTCACAACTATACTAAAAGTCAAAAGATTAATGCTGACCATTTTCATTTCCACTTCCCTAAGAGTGAAAACAAGATTGAACACCAGGAATCTTTGGTAACAGGTGCTGAGGGATTACTACTTATGCTGCCATCAATTTTTCTCAGTGTGTATGTCAGGTTTCAGGGAAAGGCAATGTTGAAGGAAGGAAGTAGCCTTAGTTCTTTCTAAGTTTTTCTAAATCAATGAAGGGAGCAGATGTTCAAGTAGCCAGTATTCTAGCACTCAAGAAGCCCTGTTAGAAATTAGAAGACAAAACCTATGGTTAATTAGCCTCCCCCTTTTCAATCTGTTGAAATCAGCAGAAAAACACAAGATGTGACAAGAAGTAGAAAAGAAGTTACCTCTGTTTTAGCATAGTGTATGGAGAGCATCAGGAATTCAACTTCCATACACATAGGTACTTTTGTAGTGAATGCTTGACATGACCTAGAAGAATTAGGAACACAAATCCATGAAAAACTGCCTCCATTTTAACAAACCACTAAAATAATCAGGGCCTCAGTGCCAGATCATCAGCATCTCATACTCTTCCCTGCATGGTACACGGCATCTAAGACATGAGAGGCGCAGCAAGAATGGGCCAGCACAGTCATTTACAGGTCTAAAGCCTTTTATCAGTAATCAGTGGGTACAGATAGCCAAGGCAGACTTTAAGCTAAGGGAACAACTCAGAACATGGGACAAAGGCCATTGCTAATTACTGAAGACTGGAAGTGTCTTGGTTACCTCCTTCTGCCATGATGGAGTCTACGTAACACACAGAACTTCTACAAAGCATTTACATTGCATGAAGGAGATTAAGTAGGTGTTTGCATTACTGGCCTTTTTCATTGTAATATAATCAGCTATTGACTCTAGGATCTCAGAGAGGAAGAGTCTTTTCTTACTAGGTAAATGGGTCTTTGGTTATGCATTTTCATGGATTTGTACTTGAGAAAATAAGCAGACAGAAAAAAGAAGGGAAAAGTGTATATAAATACATTGTATTCACAGATGCAATTTTGAATATAAAAACTGAACACAACTGATAATATAAAAAAAAATAGGGAAAAAAAATTCCAGTCACAGGAATTTGTGTATCTAAAAGAGTAAAAATTAAAATGGTGCAAAAGACACATTTACAGAAACAAAAGTTTATAACTAAACACCACTGATTCCTACAGGAATCAGAAAAATCTGGGATTCTGGGTTGTAGGCAATATATACCAGGAAAAAATAATATAATTAATTATACTTAGGAGACAAGACATCCATTTCAAGACAATCTCTTAAGCAGAAAAAAGTCCACAGAATGTGTCCTTTGCTTTACAGAACCAGATACTCATTGCATCACAGTGAAACATTATATCCCAAACTTTACAAAGAAAAAGGGAGGAAAGGAGCAAATTTTCTCAAAACTGTGAAAGACTAGTTACACAAAAAACTGCCAATCTTGATGACTATTTCAATAACAACATTACTTAGTGATTACCATTACCATCAATACAAAACAAACCATACGTGGGGCAAGTGCAGATCAGAAAACACTCGCCTTGTGCAGCACATAGAAGCAGGTGTAGCATATTTCAATAAAGAAATAACATCAAAGTAACATACCTTTAACAGACTGGAATATTAATTTCTCTGTTGAATGGTAAATAATTTGTTCCTGGATAGTAATCTTTTCCTTCAGATTCTTCTAAATCATTTTTAAAACATGCTTAGACCAGAAAACCACATTTGTTAACTTTAAACAGACAGAGTTGTTTACCTTAAGTGGATTCCTTTGATACTAGGAACATGAGGAGGATTTACATCCTTTTCATCAGTTACATGCTTTGAGGCTAAGCAGATGGCACGCCCCTGCAAGTATAGTATTCTACGATAATCTAGGGTAGTTTTAGCTTATTTCTTTTTATAGCTCCATGGGTTGCTCCCCAAACCCTATTTAAAAATTAAGGTCCACGATCTATATTTTGAGATGTGAATGCAAGCTAATAATCTGCAACCAACATATAATGGATGTAATCGGCATAAAGATTCAAATTACTTTTGTTCACAGCCCAGTGGCAACTTAAACAAATCCCAACCAGATTTCCAACCCAGGTCCAAAGACTGTATACATTTTCTTAAGCTTTTGTTTAAATAATGGCAGCATGCAATATCCAAAGATTCAGATTCACCGTTGTTTCAGACATGTACCCTGCACAATTCTTGTTAGAAATGGACCTACTCTGGAATCTTGCTGTTAAGCCTTTGGGTGTTTTTTTTTAATCAAACAACATGAACTGATTCAAACAAAAGTGTCATGGGACATGTGTCAGCTTTGAAGAAAAAAAAATCACTGGAAATTGGGACCCAAGATAGAAGTATCATTCAAAATTAGAGATCATTTAAATACCTTTGCTTTCCCTCTTCCAGATGTGGCACTTAATTTTTTCATTGCATATCAGATCATTGTCTCCCTAATTCCACACTGACCATTCTTGCATGTAACTCACATAGTTTTCTCACCAAGTTATTTTCATTTTGTTTACACTGAACATTGAAAAGAGTATTCCTTATGCCTCAACTGCAGCTTTCTTTCACTTCAGGAGTCACAATTCCCTTCTGACTAGCATTTAATTCATATGCATGAAATAACACCACTAACAGAAAGCAGAAACAGCCTTCTAGTTAGGGCTCTCACAGCAACAGGAAGCACAGAAAAGCAGTGACTATGAACACAGATCTCTTGCATTACTGAGGAAGGTTGAGCAAGTATGAAAAATCAGCCACTGAAGTTGTGCACTCAAACCTAGATGCCAATTTTAAACATTTAATGGTCTTTCAGGAAGACTGAAATCATTGTGATTAAAATTTCCCCCATGAGTCAGCCCAAGACAGGCTTTGAAGGTAGAAATATTTGTGAAAAGTATTTACAGGTATTTTGAAACTTGCTGCCAGCATTCCCACTGAAAGATAGTCTTTGGATCTTTTTTCTTAACTGTCTTTTTATGCATTTCTTATGCAGTATAAGCATAAGCATCCTTATCATATTATATATTATATATTATAAGGATGAGGGAAACGAGTCAGAAATTCTGATTAGAGTTATTAGTATATAGTTCTTAAAAATGTCCAAGAATCTGACCACAATTTAACTGCTAAATTTAGTTTGTTCAGCTAATGAAAGAAAGTCCTGTTAGATTCTCCATAGTTTAGACAGCAAGAAACCAGAACATGTTTTCACCCAAGTCTCAGAAAATAATTTTCTGAAGGAAAATAATCTGCATTAAAAATAATTTTTGAAGGATGTTGAGGTGACAACTATTTCGTATCAAGAACTTCCCAAGTTCTTGATGGCAGTGCCCAAACTAGGAAAACCGCTGCATGGCTTGAAAGAGCAACTGGGTCCACCACTCTTCAGCATGAAGAAACACTACCACCTGAGTCACCTGCTGTTCAGACTAACACATTCTTTAGAAAGGCACAGGTGAACAGCCTTCACTACCTGACAGGTAGCCTCACAGGCTCTTTCCTGAGAGGTCTCTGAGGCCTCTGCTCCAATGTCCTGGGTGTGCCTGCATAGCCTGATGTGCACCTGCACCAGCCACAGGAGTATCAACAGCAGATTCCTGACCTGACCTGGCTCTCACATCTGCCGGTGGCAATGCTTCAGCTACACCAGTTACAGCCAGACTACCCACACAAATCCAGTGTTTCTCCTGTGGACCTTCTCACACCAAAGCTGGGCTTCATGGAACAAGAATATCCCCTTCAATCCATTTCCTTCTTTACTAGATGCTGCCTCCGTTTCTTACCTGTTTTTCCTGGGCATGTTCTGACAAAATCTCTGTTGCAACGTCAGGAAAAATTTGTTTTTGTAAACTTGCCCAAGACCTCCAAAAAGCTCAAGCCAGAACATTAAAATGGTGTGCCTACAACACATAGTAGTCTTTAAGGGAAAGCCCTGGTGCTTCCAAATTCCACTGAGCTTTAAAACAGACATATACACAAAGATTGTATAGACTAACTATAAGGAAAAACAGCCAACATCAAAAGCTGGGTGATTAAATGAAGTTTTCCACATGTATGCAAAAAACACGGAGGCATGAGATTCCAGAGTTTCTGGAGTGCTAAGTCATCAAAATATCACAACAGCTTTAACAAGAGGGTCCCACAAATACTGTCTTCATATCAGCTTTGCAGTACATGCAAGATGCAAGAGAATTTTTAGAAATATTCCAATAGGATTCTCTGGAATGTTAGGGAAATCTGTGGAATATTCAGCAGCATTTTGAACACAACATTCACAGTACACCTTGGCCATAGTGCACTGCCTCACCTCCTCCCCTGTTGCCAAACCACTCAGGGATGGAGAACGACTGAGGAAAGAGTCACCAGCAGTTTTTCCAAGAATTAAGGTAACTGTAAGTCGAGCTTATACCACACTGAGTAGCTTCATATGCATTATACATGCAACTAAGTTTTTCTATTCTTATTTTGTCTTAATGTAAGAGCTTTTAAAAAAATTGGACATTCTGTTTGAAAAGCATGCCTTGCAACACCTACAACAGTAGCATTGTGTGGCACTCTTTATTGTTTAGTTGCATAAAGACATGGAAAATGATCCCTAGAATAGATTTTTCAGTCTGCTTTCAAGGTTATCTATATACCCATTAGGCTC